ACGTCAAAAGCAACGATTATTATTAGTTGTACGCTCATTCTTTCAGTATTTACTTCCCTTGATGTCATTGTAAAAATCTTTGTTTCAATAACAGAAACTGATTTTTTAAACATTACGTTTCTGACAATTAAATCATTAAAACGTCTTTCAGAAGAATCAAATTGTGAATCTATACTTAAATGTAATATCTTGTGACGGGACAAAACGATCAAAATGAAACCAAAAGGCACAGAATAAAATCAAAAATCCCCAGCCATAACATAGCATGCAAATAAATTGGTTTGTATGATTATTAAATTCTGATCGTCTGAGAGAACCAACTTTAACAGGTGGGACCATAATTAATCATCTGAGCATTTAGGAAAACATGCAGCTGAGGTTCAAAAACATTTAAAGAAAATTAACTGGTCCCTCAATCCCACAAAACACCATTGCACCATTCCAATACCTCTTGTGCTGTTACACAGAAACAAAGCAAGCAAGTCAGCTGTTGGTGTCAGTGCTCTTATTCGAATACAACACACTGAAACGATCATTGTAAGTACTTCACTGTAATATACGGGGTGGCCAGACAGCTCAAAGGCCAAGAGCATTTACCTCTAAATTGGAAGGTTATTTAACTCCTCTTTGACTGCAACTTCGGTCACCCTCTTACCCCTACCCTCCCCGCCTCCCACCCTCCTGATCTCAACCACCAGCTCGGGTGCAGATCCCTGACTGTCCAGCGCTTTGGGACGTCCTATTCATGTGAAAGGCGCTATACAAATGTAATTTGTTGTTGCATGAATTTGCCACACAGTCGCCATACAATCACTCAGTTCACCTATTTCTTCAGTTCCTGTCTGCAAAAGGCAATGGGGAAGGGAAGGGAACCAGCACTAAGATTTTGGAATACACATTCTGAAACCGGATAACCCAGTAAGTACAGTGCTGATCTGTTAAAGAGTGGCTGCAGATTCCAGGTGCAAGAACATGGTACCAAACACAAAACAAACTGAGACTGTAAAGAACAAGAGAGAAATGTCGTCAGAACAAACCACTGAAGGCCAAAGTGCAAAAATGATAAAGGATGGACTGAATTATCAGTTACGTCTTCACAAGAATTTTTCTCCCCATCCCCACAAAAAAATAGCACTATGCCCAAAACAAATGATTCCAATGCTGCTTTCATAATCTTCTTTAAAAACCTCTTTTTGGTCAGTGTCCTCAAGTATGCCCATCCATCCTTCCCTCTTTGGTCAATGATCTTTGTAAACCACTTTGAGATGAACAAACTTTGTGAAAGGTAAATTAAAGTTGGTATGTCCTGTATTTATGTACTTAAACAGTGTACTTAATGTAAAATAGGGTATTCTACCGAGTCCTTAACCATCAGTGTGAATTGTCCATCTCCTTTTTTTAAAATATTACATTTTGGCAGCTCAATTGCAGTGTGAAAGATCAGAAATCATTCACACTCTTTCTAGAAATGATAAAACTCGGCTGCTTAGTCACCCAATCTTTTGTGAGGCTGTGGTCATACTGCACGTTTCAGTGCATTTCTTGGAATAGATGGTGCTCATATTTGCACAGTTGTGAAATTAGAACATCTAACAATGTAAAGCACATTTTCAACATTTTCTCAGAGTAGGTGAGTGAAAAATAGTGCAATTAGAGTTCAAGTGCACATTAAGGAGTCTACAACAAACGAGGGGCATGACAGGTAATACATTAATATGGGCAGCAGCTATTCCTGGCCAACATTCCTCCAAACAAAACTGACTTTCACCCCCAATTAACCACTGAAAACAGATCCATACTGTGGATCTACACCCAGCCACTTGCAGGATGCAGAATGTCATATGTTAAATATCACCGATGAATTGCCTTTGCCGCTAATAATATTAACAACGACAAAATTATATTTACAGAACGCCTTTCACGTCGGGAGGACATCCCAAAGCGCTGAACAGCCAGGTGTCGGGGCCCGAGCATGGGGGAGAGGTGATGTAGGGGTGAGGGAAGGCAGAGAGGTGGGAGGGAGACCAAAGGCACAGTTGAAGAGAAGGGTTTTGAGACCGGCCTTGAAGGAGACAAGGAAGGAAGCGAAGCGAAGGGACTGTGGGATGGAGTTCCAGAGTGTGGGGTCTGAGAGGTTGATAGCCCGGCCACCGATGGTAGGAGCAGGCCGGTGCCCACTGAACGGAGGGAGCTGGCAGGTTGGTAGAGAGTCAGCAGGTCAGAGAGGTAGGAGGGGGCAAAGCCATGAATGGCCTGAAAGATAGCCTTAATAATAGCTAATATTTTAGTGACTGATAGTAGTGACTAAAAGTCAAAATACTATGCATCTTTGTTGTTGTATCAAAACAGTTGTTATTTTTATTATTCTTTATTTTGTTCATTTTTATTTAACAGTTATTATTGTTTGTTTCACGGTTATTGTTTATTTCAATTATTGTTCTCAACAATTAAACTATTTTGAAAACAAAAAGAAAACATAAACAACAACTTACATTTGTATCACACTTTTCACGTTGGGAGGATGTCCCAAGGCGCTGTTCCGCATTGTAGCTCAATATATATTGATGAGCTACAATGAGGAAAATAGGAACACGGATAGATGTAGAGTGAACCTTTAAACCAATTGTTGCAGCTTTCCTCAAAGCCCAGTGAATAAAAATACTGACCCATGTAACATTAAATCACACAGCGCACAGGTCGCAGGGAGTTGTGCCAAATTGGCGAATATCAGTTTGAAGAGATGCTATGGATAATCTTAGCAACTTGAGCTCAGGGGGAAGGGAATGAAAAGGGGGGTGGATTTTACCTCTCCCCATCTCAGCTAGAACATGTGTTTGCGCAGAGATGTCAGATACACAAAAGCCAAACTAGAGAACCCAGGTTCAGGGTTGCAAATGGCCGTTGCAGGACAGGCAGTTAGTTGCAAGCAGTATTTTTTCCTCAATGAGTAATTAATGACTGGAAATGGGTTTCCAGGAAGGGTGATTGAGGATTCTCCCCAGGCAGTGGTACAATAATTCCCATAGACTATCAAACTGAACAAGTGCAGCAACAGCCAAGGCCAAATGACCTACAATAAATACACTTGCACCCGATTCACCCGCAACTGTGCTAAACTTTGCATCCCAGTGATAGAGAGAAGAATCTATATCCCCAAACTTCCTCCAATACTCATTTGTTTGCTTTAAAAGAGATGAATCTGAATTTATCACGTATTCCTCCATGAGTGATTAACAAGTACAACAACAACAACAAGATTGCATTTATAGAGTGCCTTTCATCTCGGGAGGGCGTCCCAAGGCGCTGGACAGTTGGGTCGGGACCCGAGCAGGGGGGAAATGGTCAGGGTGAGGGGAGGGGAGGGAAGGGAGGGAGCGAGGAGGGGGTAGAGAGTCGAGAGGGGAGCTGAAGGCACGGTTGAAGAGAAAGGTCTTGAGACCGACCGGCCTTGAAGGAGGAAAGGGAGGAAACAAGGCGAAGGCACTGGGGGATGGAGTTCCAGAGCCTGGGGGCTGAGAGGCTGAAAGCCCGGCCACCGATGGTAGGGCGGTTAGGGCGGGGGTTGTGGAGCAGACCGGAGCCAGAGGAACGGAGGATGCGGGCAGGTAAGTAGGGGGATAGTAGGTCGGAGAGGTAGGAGGGTGCAACGCCGTGAATGGCCTTGTAGGTGAGGATGAGGCCAAATGACCATGGAGTCCCGTAACATAGTGGTTAGAGCACTCACTTCACAAGCGAGAGAACTTGGGTTTGATTCCCGGGCAGGGCATAACCTTGGGCAAGTATCTTTATTCCACATGCCTCGGTTTACCTAACAGTAATAGGAATCCGATTGTTAGTTGATTAGCAGATTGCTTTCCAAGGGTAATAATCCCTCAAAAACAATAATAATTTGGCCACTCAATCCACAACTGTTTGTGGGACACAGCTGTGCGCAATTGGCTGCTGCGTTTCACCCACAAATATACAGTCAATTCACTTCACAGTATATTCTGTGAAGCGTTTTGAGACGTCTCAAAGATGTGAAAAGAACTATATCACATACAAGGATTATTAATATTATTCCCCTACAGCCTCAAATTAAAATAATAATGTGGTTATTCACTCCATGACTGTTTGTGGGACATTGCTGTGCGTAATTGACTGCTGCTTTTCACCCACAAAATACACAGTCAATCCACTTTGCAATACATTCTGTGAAGTGCCTTGAGATGTCTCAATGCCTCGATATCAAAATGTAAAGATTATGTGTTATTAAAAGCCCTGGGAGGCAGTCAATAAGACCACGGCAGGACAAAAGAGTGAGAGGAGATGCACTCCTGGGTAACTTCTGCTTTTAAGTGTCTGGTTGATTGCTCTCAACCAACTCTCCACAGGGCTGCAGCACACACCCATACACACACACACACATTATAATGCTCGTCACTGCAAAGCTTGACCCATTTCCCTCTGACCAGTGCATCACTGGGACATGACAGGCACACTCTGCAGCATTGAAAATTGCAAGAGAGAAAAATTCAAGGGGGGGGGAAGAGATGAAAAAATTGCAAGAGTTGCAAAAAAAAACCATACAACTCCACACCAAGTGGAAAGTGGCACTCTAGCAGCTCTTCACCCCCAGGGTGACCGTTAAGAGGGCTGCCAATCCCTCCCCACCCCAGCAGCACCTCAGCAGAGGCAAAGTGCCTAAGGGAGAGGAATCCAGGTAACAAGCCTCCCTCCCTCTCTGGCTCCCATAAACCAACTCCCACATGGCTCTGCTCACCAGGCCTCTCCTTTAGCTGTGCAAAAAAAAACTTTAAGTAAGAACTTTGTGCAAACACTTCCTTAGCCCTCCCACAACTTTTGCAAACCTTTTTCCCCCTCCGCAAGCACATCCACCCACAAAAGTAAAGTGTTTCCCCCCCGCCCACCCCATTTAATTTCCTCCCTCCCATTTAATTTCCTCCCCAGAGACACAAAAGGAGGTGGGGGAATGGGAAACGCACATAAATACCACCTACCTCCTGCAAAATGCAACATGCCCTTTGGTTCCCCTTTAAATGCAACGAACGAAGGTGACAAGGTCTTTTGCAATCAAAAAAAATAAAAAGTCTTTGAAGGTGTGGGTTGGTCTGTGTTAGTTTGTTTGTTTGTTGTTGTTTAATTCAGGTTGCTGTGTGTCTGTCTGTCTGTCTGTCTGTCTGTCTGTCTGTCTGTGTGCCTTGACTTGTGCCACTCTCAGGCTTGCAGAGCTGGGCANGGGGGCGCATCCTGTGCACAAGTCACATTACACAGCCATGTTGACAAGACTATAGCTCACTCTCACTCTCTCACTCTCTGCTGCTGCCAAACTTTCTTCCTCTGGCGGCTGCTGTTGCTGCTGCCGCCTTGTGCTGTGCTGTGTCTGTCTCCACTCACTGCCTCTCTCTCTCCTTCACCGAAGACGCCGCTGCGCTGCTGATCCTCACTGAGCAAATGCTGCTCTGCCAACACTCACTCTGGTTGAGGTCTCCCTCTCGCTCTCTCACTCACACACCATTTTTGCCTAAAAACAATTTTTTTGCATCTGATGCAAATTGCATATCTGTCTGTCTATCTATATATATCTACTGCATATATAATAGTCCACCCTACAGCTGTTCTGCTCTTCAAGACATCTCTTGCAAAGCAGGAAGTAAAAGGTGCCTTTGCCTCTCCCCCAAATTGCAACAGATCCTATCATTGCCTTCCCTGCCCCCACCCCCCCTTTCTCGCTTCTTAATCTTCTGGGTCCTAAAGCCTCACAAGAAAACTTTTTAAAGTTGGGCAAGTCAGGTTTTGTTGCTCGTTTAATGGGAAACCAGTGATTCGTGCTGGGCTTCTCCCTCACCTCCCCTCCCCCCACCCAGGGCTGCACTGCAAATGTGTCTATTCATGCCCTGGCACCTCCCTACATATCCGATTTGCCTACCCCCCCACTCCACCACCCGCTGCCTCTGTTCGTCCAGCTCCAGCCACCTGTTCGTCCGGTTCTGGCCTCCTTGCCCCCTCCAGTCCACCATCGCCGGCCATGCTTTTATCCACTATGCCCCAAAGCTCTGGAACTCTCTCCTTCAATCTCTCCGCCTTACCACCTCCCTCCCCATTTTGAAATTGTGCCTAAAGACCTTCCTTTTGATCATGCTTACGGTCACCTCCCCCCTCCCTCTCCCCCCTGGCTTGGGATCAGACTCCTCCACTGTCAAGCGCTCCAGGACGCTACCCCATGTGAAGGCCGCTATATAAATGCAAGGTGCTGTTGTTGCCCAGACAATGCAAACTCACAAGGCTAGCGCACAAAGGTTTAAGTCCGATTGTCTTCTCTTCTCATCCCACCACCCCAACCACCATGCACTTTGCAGTAATGGTCACTGCATTCATTGTCACCCAGCACAGAGCAGCACGTCTGGCTGTTTCATTTTGCCCCTCCCAAGACATTGCCACCCAGAATGGAATTAGCACGTATAACACTGGGATCTTATAATAATCTTTGTGTATGACACATAGCACCAAGAATGTTGAAGCACCTCAAAGTGATCTGCAGGTAATTGCCATCACAGACTGCACATTTGTGAGCAAAGGCAGAAAATTTTATTATCTTGGTTTGTACAGATCAATAGCACAACAGGCAGTAGCTTCATCTACCAAGGCCTGCGGTTGGGGGAGGTGGGAGGAGATTGACAATTTCTCCTACATTTGATTTCTGACAGCACAAAATCTTACAATTTAATTCCATGGGATCTTTTGGACATCTCATTGAAACGGTCATTCAAATGTGAAGCTGGAGCGTTAGTTTTGGCATCTGTACATGGCATTCCACCAAACATGCACTTATCAGCAAGGGTGCCTGGACGGCATCCAAGAGCAGGAACCCTGGCTGATTCTTTTTCCTGTCTGGCCCAGGGCCTTGAGGCCATTGTGGTAAACTCAACTGATCTCTGAGTTAGAAGGTTGCGGGTTCAAGCCCCACACTGTGAGTTTGAGCTCACACTCCAGTGAAATGTTGGGGGAGGTCCTATCCTTTCAGATGAGACTTTAAAACCGGATGCCATCATCCTACAGATAGTCATTACAATTTGTAGTAAATCCTGTGAAGCGTTTTGAGATGTTTCGATGATGTAATAGGTGCTGTAACAAATGCAGGTATTATAAAAATGCACCTCACTGCCCTTCAGGAGAAGCCCTGGCCAATGAAAAATGACTTTTATCGTATGAAATAAAGCTACGAATCAGTTCGTGAAAGAATTTGATTTTCAAATTATTCAACTTTTCTAAAATTGTTAAAATCCATCACCCAAGTATTGAATAAAAAATTTGGATCCCAATAACGTATTGGGTCAACTATCACTTTTACTACCCTCAAGAATGACATTGAATTCTCAGTCAGATATTAAATGGTATAATATTTTGATAAACCAAATTACAGTGTATTAACAATGAGGAAGGCCTGAAGGAACCAAATGGTTCAAATTGGGCACATTGCTAAATATTTAACTTGAAAATATTGTTTACTATATATCAGTTTTGTTCAAATAACCATAACATTTTACATACTGCACAACCATGTGCTTTTCTTATTAGCTGTGAAGTGATGACATTTATCCTATACTTTGTTTTATATACTGTAATACCCAATAAAATATGAAGACTTCTCCTTCCTCCCCCAATCCAGTATTTGTTGCAGTTTCCTTAGAAAGAAAACACGATCCAGTTAGTTTACAGAAGAATGCAACTTAACCCTCTAGGTATCTTCCACACACAAAAAGGAATACGTTCCCATATGTACAAATAGCAACCTGGAAGTTAGTCACTTGGGGGCAATTCAAACCTGCCTGCTCACAGCTAGCTTGCTCAAAAGCAACACTGGCAGAGCCTGGGAGTAGGGCTGCTGTCTGACCTTTCAGCTCAGGAATGGCTGATGGGATCTGAAGAGGAGAAGTAACAGAATATATATATATATATTGTTTAATAAATGGCACCTTTAACATTTGTGTGCAATTAAAATTGATCGAACTGTATTTTTAAAGAAAACTTTAAATTACATTTATTGAACCTAGTTAAACATGATACAGATACAGATACTGAAATGCTCTTTTCTAACCTTCGCGCAGTCTCATTTAGCTCAGGATGTTAACAAAACAAGTCAGACTTCCCGTGACATCATTGCAACTCCATTCTAAGGCAATGGAGATGCTATCACTGAAGGGGCAGACTTACTTTATTAAAATCTCCTCCTTGAAAGACACTCACCTCCAAGCTCAAATGCCGAGCTCAAAATGAACATCTGGGTAACCAGAAGCTAAGAAAATTGACTGGTTAGCCCAATGCAAAAAGAGTGAAAATAAATGAACCACAGGTCTGCAAAGATAAACAATAACAATTACTGAAACTAAAAAATGTTTTGCAGTCAGTGAGCCTATGTCAGCATTATCTTCCACTTGTTAGTGTATTCATTCAACTAAATGCTGACAGACCTGTTTAAATTTACTGTTCACTCTCTATTTTTGGTCCCCTTTATTATTTGGCTAACAGTGATAGAACAATTGGGGTGGTGTTTAGTGTAAAAAAAAGACAAACCTAAACCTGTGACCAGTGGATCACAATGCAAGTGTGATAAATGTTACTTTGTTTGAACTGATACTTTAAAAGTGGCAATGTTTGTAAACTTCTGGTATGTAGGTCAAAATACCATATAGCAAACAAACATACTGGTTCAACATAAATGCCACTAAGCCAAGCAATTACTGCAGTTAAAGTGAAACAGATAATGTTCCTGCAGTATACTGTAGTTTCTGTAGATATTTGAAGGAAAATTACATTTGTTTTTAATAGCTTGATAAATAGAACTGCCTCAGAAAAACTCTTGCACATTAACACATTAACCATTTTGAAAATGGTTCTGCAACAACTGTTCCCCAGGCCTTGGCACGTTTCCATACTCCAAACTGTCTGCTTTCCCTCTCCTCCCATTCACCTCCTTCTCCACCATTTTTCATTGAATCTAATTTGCAACAATAATGGACGGATAGGTAAATAAATTTCCTACAGATACCCAGATGTGTCTCAGGTCGACCTCATCTCTCATTTTCAACTTCTGGATTGCAGCCAACGGTGGCTCCAGGGAATTGGCAGTAGATTGGTGTCTGAGCAGAGTTCACATTGACCATATACAAATCCCTTTTTTGCAAATCTCACAAATTGGAATCCAATGTGGAGCAGGCAGTGTTGAGAAATGGCAAAAGGTCAGTGAGGGGCTATAATATAATCATAACCATTTTACTTTTATCTTCCCCCCCACAAACTACTTGGTGCACATTTCCTTTTTTCTCCCACCCATGTGTCTGCCATTGCTCAGACAAGATCTTGAACTTGAAATCTATCTCCAATACATTTGGAAGAAGTGTGGGTGCTCTGGTCTCTGGAGCAATACAAAAAGGGACAGTGGGACAAAAAATGCGATGTTTCACATTACAGCAGATTCAATGTGATATCACTTTGAACGTGTTATTCACAGACAAATGCCTTTTACATTTAGCTGCTTGTATAAGAGATGTGGGAAGGGAGTTACTTTACTGTCAATCTTGATTTCTGGGGTGGGGCAGAGGTGCCACATCTTTCTGGTCTCAGAAGAAACAATACCTGATTTTTTTTAGATGGGAGAGAGCCCTCTGTTGTACTTGGGGCTGGTGAATCCAAATGCTGCCAGTGATTTTATTTTTATTTATTTTCTGTCTCATCTGACTTGGTATGTGAATCATAGGCCACTTCCTCCAGACCTGGTAAGGTAGCTTCCCGTCTGTGGTTTTCAAGACCATGTGTAGATAAATCACTTCTTCATAAGTGACTCTCCTACTTTTCTTCCAATCTCTGCTTGGCACCTAATAACAGGCTTCTTTGAAAGGGTGTGTTTTGCTATTTTATTTTCCTTAAATATCTTTTCAAGTAAAGTTGCCCTTAGAACATGGAATTATAGGGACAATTGGTACACGTGAATATTCTTTTTAAACTTGTCCAAAGGGCACTTTTCTCCCTAAACCTTTGACTTAACAAAATATAATAATCCTTTCCATTTGATATAGTGTTTTATCACATTGTCAAGATAT